TATCGGAAAAAAACGAATCCCTAAATGGCAAATGAGACTAGAAGACAGAATCTCAAATCTTAGAGTTAAAATAGGAAGACTAACGGAATATATAAATGGCAATACAAGCACTAAGCTCAAACGCGAAATAGAAAAAATTACAGCAGCTTATAAAATACATTCAATGCATGAACACGAAAACAAGAAACTAGCCCATTTCCTAGACACCCTCAAACAAAAGCTTAGTTCACTTGCAAACCGACTACGTAAATATAAAGAAACCACTCTAAGAAAACAACAAAATGCAGCATTTTATAATAATGAAAAAACATTCTACAGAAACCTAACAAACGCACATGATATTACTGATAATAATAAATTAGTAGAAATACCTGAAACAGAACAGCTGCATGAATTTTGGTCTAATATGTGGTCAAACCCCAAAACACACAGAGAAAGCGATTGGATTTAAACAGGATAGGGAATTACTAGTAGATTTACCAGAAATGATGTTCGATGAAATAGACATGAATCTATTCAAAGCAGTTATTAACAAAACACACAGCTGGAAAGCGACTGGAAGCGATAAAATCCATAATTATTGGTATAAAAAGTTTACTTACTTACATCCGCTCTTACTGTTACACATCAACACTTTTATAAAAACACCAGAATCATTACCAAGCTACATTACACTAGGAACAACTTACATGATACCTAAAGACCGAAATGACTCAAAAAATCCAGCCAAATACAGGCCAATTACCTGCCTCCAAAACATTTATAAGATCATTACGTCTTGTCTTAGCCAATTAATTTACAAGCTCGCTATCTCTCACAATATATTAGCAGAACAACAGAAAGGATGCAGAAAAGCTAGTCTAGGTTGTAAAGAACAGTTGATAATTGACGCAATCGTCTCTAAATAAGCAGTCACCAAGAAAGAAATATTTTCACCATGTTTATTGACTACAAAAAAGCATTTAACTCAGTACCCCATAGTTGGCTAATATACATTTTAGAAAATTATAAAATTCATTACAAAATTAGAGAATTCTTGAAAAATACAATGCTTCATTGGAGAACTACTCTCAAGCTATACAATGGTGACTCCTGTTTAGAGACCGATACAATAACAATCCGAAGGGGAATTTTTCAAGGTGACGCCTTAAGCCCCCTCTGGTTCTGCCTGGCTTTAAATCCTTTATCTAACCTTCTCAATAGAAATGACAAGGGTTATAAAATCACTAATGGAAATACACTCATACACTATCACATTTACTTCATATGGATGACATAAAATTGTATGGGAGTAGTTTACAAGATTTACTTACACTTGCTGATATAACGGAAAGCTTCTCAATTGATATTCAAACGGAATTTGGAATAAATAAATGTAGGATACAATCAATTCGTAGAGGCAAAGTAGAACAAAATTCATATACTCTCCAGACAGGTGAAACCATTGAACCTGTAGATGAAAACGCTGGTTATAAATATCTAGGATTTACTCAGACGCGACAGATTCACCAAAAACACGTTAAAAAAACATTAGAAAAAGAATTTAAATTACGCTTAAATAGAATACTTAACATACATATATGCACGAAACACCATAAAAGCTGTAAACACATTCGCCATCCCAATTTTAACTTATTCATTCGGTATAATTCATTGGTCTAAAAGCAACCTAATAAATCTGCAACGTCTCTTCAATAAAATTATGACTAAATACAGAAAACACCACCCTAGATCTTGTAGCGAACGACTTACATTACCTAAACTAGAAGGTGGAAGAGGTGTGATTGATATAAAAAATCTTCATAACTCTCAAATTTCAGCTATGCGAAACTTCTTTCATCAAAAAGCCAATAATAGTCCGCTTCATAATGTTGTTGTTCAAGCCGATACTAAACTTACTCCTTTAAACCTCAAAGATCAAAGAAAACAGAAAAACGAAAGTATTGTCTCTGCACAGGATAAAATTAACAGCTGGTTGCAGAAGACGTTACATGGAAGACACCGCCGTGACTTGATGAGCACAAACGTAGACAAGATAGCGTCTAACATGTGGCTCAGGCGCGGAGAAATCTTCCCTGAAACGGAAGGCTTTATGTTAGCAATTCAGGACCAAACTATACTACTACAGGAAACATATAATTAAAGACCACACTCTACAATCAGACCTTTGCAGACATTGTGATAATAGTTCAGAAACCATTCAGAAACTCATATCACTGGTGCTTGCAGCTCAATAACACAGACCGACTATAAACATAGACACGACCAAGTAGCTGCCATCATTCATCAGTATCTAGCATATAAATATAAACTTATAGATGAAAAAATAGCATATTATAAATACAAACCAGAAAACATACTTGACTCTCGCGAATTCAAACTCTACTGGGCCAGAACTATATTAACTGATAAGACCGTGCATTATAATCGACCGGATATTACGCTACATGACAAAAGAAACGAATCAGTTTGTTTTATAGATATTGCTATACCAAACACTCACAATTTGTCCTCTACCTACAATGAAAAAATAGCCAAACAAAAAAACTGATTTATCCATCGAAATAAAATCCCAGTGGAAAGTAAAAACTGTAAAAACTATACCAATTATAATATCAGCAACTGGCGTCATTCCCCACTGACTCTTTTCTAGCTTAAAGGAGCTAGATATCCATAAACTTATCTTTATATCACTACAGAAAGCAACAATATTGAATACTTGCAGAATAGTTCGTAAGTTCCTGTCTAAAAATTAAAACACTTAACCGATTTCGTTTGGCTAACAGCCCGCGAAAAAGGTAAAATACCTCGGGAACGAGAGAATACTGAACAATAACAATAATAATAATAAAGTGGTGAAACGCAACCGTCGGAACTTCTCCGCCGCCTGGATAGACTACAGAAAAGCATTCGACTCGGTGCCCCATACATGGCTAAAGAGGGTCCTCGAGTTGTACAAGATTAACCGTACAGTTAGAGACTTCCTCGAGCAGTGTATGGGGCAGTGGAGTACGATCCCTGTTATCTGGGCGAGCGGATGATGGCTGCGGAGAACCACATAAGGATAAGAAGGGGTATATTCCAGGGCGATTGTCTGAGTCCAATCTGGTTCTGCTTCTCTCTGAACCCTCTCAGTACCTTACTGGAGGATTTCAGCTACGGAAGGGCGAAACAAAAGTGACCCACCTTTTCCATATGGATGACCTCAAGTTATTCGCCTCCAGTCGCTCCCATCTTATGGAATTGCTAAACATCACTTGTGAATTTAGCAATTCTATTGGAATGGAGCTGGGGACGGATAAGTGTGCGGTCCTTCATGTTGAAGGGGGAAGGGTTGCTAACTCTGAGGGCATAGATTTATCTATGCCCGTCAACTTAAAGACCCCTTTCCGAGGCTGAAACATACCGATACCTCGGTATGTCACAGAACATCGGTATCGATGAGGCTGGTATGAAACAGTCAGTTTGCGACGTGTTTTGTGCACGCTTGACCAAAGTGCTTAACAGCCTTTTGTCCGGTGTGAATAAGACACACGCATATAACGGTTGGGTCACGCCTGTCCTCATATATACCTTCGGCATACTCAGGTGGACTCAGACCGAACTTAACGCCCTGGATAGAAAAGTCCGCACTACCATCACCTCCCATAGGATGCCGAGATCGTCGGTAGTGTACTTGCCGCGAAAGCATGGTGGGCGTGGTTCTCTGAGCGCGCTCACCATGCATAATCGCGAAGTGTGCAGCCTCCGTGATTACTTCCTGGCGAGATCGGATGATTCATTATATAATGATGTCATTTCTAGTGATAAAGGGCTTACCCTCTCTATCCTTAGCCAACGAGCAATGACAGGACCCGGCAGTGCTTAGCATTTCCGACCGGGAGACCGTATGGAAGGAGAAGGAGCTCCACGGGAGGTACTCAGTGCTCTTCATGAGCCTTTCGTAGATACAGTCGCCTCCCTCCACTGGCTACGTTTCTGTGACCTCTTCCGGGAAACCGAGGGTTTTGTCAGTGCAATACAAGATCAGGTTATTAAGACCAACAACTATCGGAGATACATCCTAAAGCAAGGCACCGTCGACGTCTGTCGAGCTTGTCGCCATCCCGGGGAGTCACTTAGGCATGTCATCTCCGGTTGTTCGGCGCTTTCTAACTCTGAGTACTTGCACAGGCACAACCTAGTAGCCAGAATTCTACACCAGGAGCTCGCTCTGAAATACGGTCTCGTGGACCGGTAATTGCCGTATTACAAGTACTTGCTGGAAGCCGTGCTCGAAAATGACCGCGCCAGGCTCTACTGGGGCCGGGCCATCATCACAGACAGGACTATTCTTGCGAATAAGCCTGATGTTGTGCTGATGGACCGGGCACAGTCAAGGATATTTTTGGTCGATATTACCATCCCGTATGACGAGAACCTCGTGAAAGCCAATAAGCAATCAAAATATCTGGACCTGGCTCACGAGGTGACCGATATGTGGGGTGGTCTGCCGACCGAAATTATTCCTGTAGTCGTCTCTGCGAATGGGCTAATCCCAGTTAGCCTCTCAGGTCGTCTGAGGCGGGACTCCGTGGCGGACCGCTCCGGGCTCAAATGTAGAAGGCGGTGCTTCTTGATACTGCCCGCATCGTCCGCCGGTTTCTTTCCCTTTCCCCCTAACCCTTGGCCGTTTGGTCTCCCTTGCCGAGCGCTCCCATCTGGTTGGGCTTTTATTTATTTATGTATTTTTGTATTTATTTAATTTTATTGATATTTATGTATATTTATCTTTTCATTTTCATTTATAATTATATATTTATACATCCCAACCGGATGAAAAAACTATACAGATACCCCCCATAATAATAATAATAAATAGTACGCGCAAAGGGCCACTGCCTGGAGGTCGCCAGGGCGCGTCTGGAGCTGGCGCTGGACGCAACAGCATGCGAACCGCCAGCCGAGCGTGAGGTACTGCACGACCACCCAGCAGCCGCTCGTCATCCCCACCAGCTGGCTTGGTGTCGGCAGGGTCTTCGCGGGCCCAGCAATCGGCACCCGCCTCTGGTGGAGTACGCCGCATGCGTTGGACAACCCAGATGAACAGCAACGCATTGCGGGCGTATTTTAGGGTGAAAGGGGAAGAAACTGGAGGTTTTGCGTATCAGGCAAGGATGCATCGACTTTTTGCTGAGCTGGAGCCATCTGTAACCGTCACCGAGCAAAACCTGGCAGACCGAGTTCGGTATATCTTGCGCTCAAATACATTTGATGTTACCGAACTCGAACGGCTACGACGTGAGGCTGTTCCTTCGTCGGGTCAAAATGCTGCGGCTGAGGATGCGGCGCCACAACTTGCTGAGCAAACGGCAAATGTGGATGCCGCCGTGAACACGCCAGTTGTGGTTGATTCAGACGATGATGGAACAGTCGCCCTGGAACTGGAACTAGAGTAAATGAGGAGAACATTGGAAGAGGCGATTGTGGAAACGCGCAGTACGCCTCTCGAAAATCGACCGCGACTTCCCTGCTTAGCCCTAAGCAAGCGAAATCGGGCTATCGTGAGGGCTCTGAACCCAATGCTGGTTACCTATTTGGAAGCCAGCCGGGACCTTTGCGAGACGGACTCAATTCTTTTTAGCGCCGCACTGGCAGTCTGCCGTATTATAGGCGCCAAACTTTCCACGGCTGGACGCGCTACTGGACAAAGTAGTGCTATCTCAGCCTGGAGAATAAGAATTGAAGAACGTATCGCAAAGGCTAGGGCCCTCATCGGCAGACTGATATGCTTCAGGTCAGGCAATACCAGGCCAAAGATTGTGCGCACCGTCAGGATGGTGTTTGTTGGGACAAAAGTTAGTTAGTCCCAGCCGGATATAATGCAAAAACTGACGGAGCGCATAGACGACCTGAAGCACTGAATCGCTGCTTGGGGAAAGCGGATTCGACGATATACCGAGAGGTCGACACGGTTCAACCAGAATCGTCTCTTCCAGAGTGATCAGAAGAGGCTCTATAAATCATTGGAGCGACCAATAGTAAGTGAAACGGGCCCAGCACCAAATCAGGTCGACACGGTCGCATTCTGGCGCAGCCTGTGGTCAGAGCCCGTAAACCACAACGAGGGCACTTGGACGGAAGTTGTGGCGAGGCAGTGTGCGGGTATTACGCCCATGGACCCCGTCATCATAAAGCCGGATGACGTAGCTGAGGCGGTCCGTAGGGCCCCGAACTGGAAAAAGTCCGGGGCTTGACAGGCTGCATCACTACTGGCTGAAGGGGTTCAAGGTGTGTCACGCTGTGCTCGCCCGACAGTTTCAAGAGGCTCTCAACCAGAAGTTGCTCCCAAGCATCTTCACTACTGGGATCACTCATTTGGTTCCTAAATATTAGGGTGCCACAGACCCGAGCAAATACCGCCCCATCACGTGTACCGACCATATATAAGACACTAACATCCATTTTGAGCGCGAGAATCGCTCGTCACCTGGAATCAAATCAGGTGATGTCGCGCGCTCAAAATGGATGTCGGGGCGGCGGTCGTGGAACCAAGGAACCACTCCTCATTGACGCGGTCATTGGCAAAGTGGTGAAACGCAACCGTCGGAACTTCTCCGCCGCCTGGATAGACTGCAGAAAGGCATTTGACTCGGTGCCCCATACATGGCTAAAGAGGGTCCTCGAGCTGTACAAGATTGACTGTACAGTTCGAGACTTCCTCGAGCAGTGTATGGGGCAGTGGAGTACGATCCTCTGTCATCTAGACGAGCGGATGACGGCTGCGGAAAGCCGCATAAGGATAAGAAGGGGTATATTCCAGGGCGACTGTCTGAGTCCAATCTGGTTCTGCCTCTCTTTGAACCCTCTCAGTACTTTACTGGAGGGCTCCGGGAGGGGATTTCAGCTTCGGAAAGGAGATACAAAAGTGACCCACCTTTTCTATATGGATGACCTCCTTCGAAACTTTACTGGAGGGCTCCGGGAGGGGATTTCAGCTTCGGAAAGGAGATAGAAAAGTGACCCACCTTTTCTATATGTCATCGTTTGCTGGGACAAATGTCAGTTTGTCCCAGCCGGATGTAACGCAAAAACTGAAGGAGCGCATAGATGATCTGAAGCAGAGAATCGCTGCTTGGGGAAAGCGAATTCGGCGATATACCGAGAGGTCGACACGGTTCAACCAGAATCGTCTCTTCCAGAGTGATCAGAAGACAGCACCGAATCAGGCCGACACTGTAGCATTCTGGCGCGGCCTGTGGTCAGAGCACCGTAAACCACAGTGAGGGCCCTTGGACGGAAGTTGTGGCGAGTCAGTGTACGAGTATAACGTCCATGGTTCCCGTCCTTATAACACCGGATGACGTAGCTGAGGCGGTCCTTAGGGCCCCGAACTGGAAAAGTCCGGGACTCGACGGGCTGCATCACTACTGGCTGAAGGGGTTCGTGGTGTGTCAACTGTGCTCGCCCGACAGTTTCAAGAGACTCTCAGCCAGAAGTTGCTCCCGAGCCTCTTCACTGCTGGGATTATCCATTTGGTTCCTAAAGACCCGGGTACCACAGACCCGAGCAAATACCGCCCCATCACGTGTCTACCGACCATATACAAGACACTAACATCCATTTTGAGCGCGAGAATCACTCGTCACCTGGACTCAAATCAGGTGATGTCGCGCGCTCAAAATGGATGTCGGGGCGGTGGTCGTGGAACCAAGAAACCACTCCTCATTGACGCGGTCATTGGCAAAGTGGTGAAACGCTACCGTCGGAACTTCTCCACCGCCTGGATAGACTACAGAAAGGCATTCGACTCGGGGCCCCATACATGGCTAAGGAGAGTCCTCGAGCTGTACAAGATAGACTGTACGGTTAGAGACTTGCAGTGGAGTACGATCCTTTGTCATCTGGGCGAGCAGATGATGGCTGCGGAGAACCACATAAGGATAAGAAGGGGTATCTTCCAGGACGATTGTCTGAGTCTGATTCTGCCTCTCTCTGAACCCTCTCAGTACCTTACTGAAGGGCTCCGGGAGGGGATTTCAGCTACGGAAAGGAGGGACAAAAGTAACCCACCTTTTCTATATGGATTACCTCAAGTTATTCGCCTCCAGTCGCTCCCATCTTATGGAATTGCTAAACATCATTTGTGAATTTAGCAATTCCATTGGAATGGAGCTGGGGACGGATAAGTGTGCGGTCCTCCATGTTGAAAGGGGAAGGGTTGTTAACTCGGAGGGCATAGACTTATCTATGCTCGTCAACTTATGAACTCTTTCCGAGGCTGAAACGTACCGATACCTTGGTATGTCACAGAACATCGGTATCGATGAGCCTGGTATGAAACAGTCAGTTTTCGACGTTTTTTATGCACGCTTGACCAAAGTGCTTAACAGCCTTTTGTCCGGTGTGAATAAGGCACACGCATATAACGGCTGGGTCATGCCTGTCCTCATGTATACCTTTGGCATACTCAGGTGGACTCAGACTGAACTTAACGCCCTGGATAGAAAAGTCCGCACTACCGTGACGTCCCATAGGATGCATCATTCGAGATCGTCGGTAATGAGGCTGTACTTGCCGCGAAAGCATGGTGGGCGTGGCTTCTTGAGTGCGGTCACCATGCATAATCGCGAAGTGTGCAGCCTCCGTGATTACTTTCTGGCGAGATCGGATGATCCATTCTATAAGGACGTCATTTCTTGTGATAAAGGACTTACCCTTATATTTATCCTCTATCCTTAGCCAACGAGCAATGGCAAGACCCGGCAGTGCAGAGCATTTCCGACCGGGAGACCGTATGGAAGGAGAAGGTGCTCCAGGCTCTACATGAGCCTTTCGTAGACGCAGTAGCCTCCCTCCACTGGCTACGCTTTGGTGACCTCTTCGGGGAAACCGAGGGTTTTGTCTGTGCAATACAAGATCAGGTTATTAAGACCAACAACTATCGGAGATACATCCTAAAGGATGGCACCGTCGACATCTGTCGAGCTTGTCGCCATCCCAGTGAGTCATTTAGGCATGTCATCTCCGGTTGTTCGGCGCTTTCTAACTCTGAATACTTGCACAGACACAACCTAGTAGCCAGAATTCTTCACCAGGGGCTCGCTTTGAAATACGGTCTCGTAGATCGAAAATTGCCGTATTACAAGTACTTGCCGGAAGCCGTGCTCAAAAATGATCACGCCAGGCTCTATTGGGACCGGGCCATCATCACAGACAGGACTATTCTTGCGAATAAGCCTGATATTGTGCTGATGGACCGGGCACAGTCAAGGATATTTTTGGTCGACCTTACCATTCCCTACGACGAGAACCTCGTGAAAACCGAAACAGATACAACAAACAAAATATCTAAACCTGGCTCATGAGATGATCGACATGTGGGGTGGCCTGTCGAGCGAAATTATTCCTGTAGTCATCTCTGCAAACGGGCTAATCCCAGTCAGCCTCTCAGGTCATCTGAGGCGGCTGGGACTACGTGGCGGACCGCTCCAGGCTCAAATCCAGAAGGCGGTGCTCCTCGATACCGCCCGCATCGTCCGCCGGTTTCTTTCCCTTTCCCCCTAACCCTCGGCCGTTTGGTCTCCCCTGCCGAGGGTCTCCATCTGGTTGGGCTTTTATTTATTTATGTATTTTTATATTTATTTAATTTTATTGATATTTATATATATTTATCTTTTCATTTCCATTTATAATTATATATTTATAGAACCCAACCAGATGAGAAAACTATATTGATACCCCCCATAATAATAATAATAATAATAATTGCCAAAATTTTGGAGTGCCCATGCAGAGTTCTTGTTTGGCACTATTTTTATAATTAAGACCTTAAGACCATACGTATACAACAAGATTAGCAAATAAATTGAATTGAATTGAATTGAATGTTGCGGTATTAGAGACAACCCGCTGCGTTTGTTCGTTTTGTAATGCATGGCACTTAAAATTCGGCGATATTAGCCAAATTGTAGAATGCAGAAAGCTGATACATTACATGATGTGCATTACGATTAGACGTTTATCAATAATACGTCTTATTTCTTATTTGGCTGCGAAGTACATTCGTGCCGACCGAATGCAGATGAAGCCTTTCGTTTCAGATTATTTTTTTGTGGTTTCTATATTTCCTTCGTACTTTTACAGGCTCATAATTTTATCTTGCATTAATATTAATTCATGAACAGTTTCCAATAATAATTTTTATGTCTATCGTGTACTGCAACATCTTAGGCATCGAAATCAACTTATTTACAAACTGTACTGATTGATAGTTACTAAATAATACTACATTATTTTTGCTTAAAATAATTGCTTAGGTAAATAAAGAATTTATATATATATATATATATATATGTATATATATATATATATATATATATATATATATATATAAAGTGTATGATTATAGAAATATATTCCTATTAGTTAAATACATTTTATAATTTTTCATTTATTC